AGAAGGCACTCTGGAAGGTTAGTCAGCAAGAAATAGATGACGAATCCCTAATTGGGATCCAACATCTAGAGATTGTCAATACTCTTGAAGCTGAGATTGGAGTTTTCGCCTCAATAATTTCTCAAGTCGATCGTCGATTGTCTGTAGCAAGGATCCAACTTGATCGACTTAAGGCTTCTTTCCCTCTCTAGGACAATACTTTTTCCTTGTTTTTGTTAAAGTCTTTATGTCATTTGCAACACCATTTTGGATTTTTGTAATCGTTAAATATGCCCTTTGTGGCATTTGACATTTTAAGACCATTATTTTTATCCTTTTTTTAATTCTGAAGTTATATTTTATTTTGCATTAATACAGATTTCCTACAATATCAGACTATATTGTTTTAAATATATACCATTTATCCGTAAGACTCTTTATTAAACCAATACAGATCCTGTTAGCCAGTTCGACCTGGCCATTAGCTTGGACATAATAAGGTGTCAAAGTTAGTAACTTGAACCTTATTTTCGAGGAAAACTCTACCGGGCTTAAAGCTTGAGCATAATAAATCAATGAATACTCAGTAAGCTCCAAAGCCCAATTTCCTATTTGACTATGTAATATAGGCTTTAACAACACAATGTTTAATAACATCAAAATGAGATTAAATATAAACATCAATTGCTTATAATGCTTAAGTTTTGTACATGAGAAGTATAAGCACTAACATAATTTTCCGATTACATTATACCTAATCTCTACATCAACTAATATTCAACTGAAGTAATAAATGGCTCTTTCGACGTCATTTTCATCCACTTGGGATAACATACTTCCTATGTCGAATCTGGCATAGGTATATATAATTTCATACTCTTATTTCTACTTGGAGGTAACAAGATTAGAGGTTTCATAAGATATTCTTTAATGTTGTGGAAAGCCTCTTGCTACTCGCTCCCTCAAACGAAGTCATTCTCTTTCATGAGTCGAAGTAATGGCGGGAACGACCGAGTCTTGCCATATAAGTTAGAGATGAATCTTCTTAGAAAATTTATTTCTCCCAACAAAGACTGAAGTTGCTTCTTTGTCGAAGGAGACTTGAAATCCATGATTGATTTCTTTTTGTTTTGATTGATCTCTATTTCTTTTTGGTGCACCACAAATTTCAAAAATTCTCCTGCATGAACACATAAAGCACACTTTAATGAATTCATTTTTAATTCATATTTTTATTTTCATAATTGTTTTTAGAAATATATATATATATATATATATATATATATATATATATATATATATATATATATATATATATATATATATATATATATATATATATATATATATATATATATATATATATATATATATATATATATATATATATATATATATATATATATATATATATATATATATATATATATATATATATATATATATATATATATATATATATATATATATATATATATATATATATATATATATATATATATATATATATATATATATATAAACCAAACATACTATAAACGTACAATTCATTAATTTTTATAATAAAAAATTATAAATATTTTATAATATTTTTTATATTAATTTAGAGTATTTTAGATTATCCGTTCGTATCTTAGAGTATCTCAGAAATGGATTTCATAACTTTACTACTATTCTATAATTTTGTAATTTTGAACAATTTAAATGAGCAATAAATAATTAAAATATATTATTTTTAGACAGAATGTTTATTTTAGTGAGTGATAAGCGTGAGATATATATCATATTCTAAAGTTAATATAATGTATATTCACAACTAGTCGTTTGTCTGTGAGATGCATGAAATAGTGATACACAATTTTATGAGATATACTATAAATAATTATAGTTTAAAGAAAGAAAATGAAAGATATTGAATTATTCTATCATCAAGCTATTACATGGTGCTCTAAACTTCAATCATATCTATGATGCCAAAATTTCTATATAATTTCTAACATTTTTATCTACCTCCTAGAAAAATAATTTCACATGAACTTATATTTAATTTCATACCACGACAAGAAAAGACCAAAATATAAAGAAATTTACATGATCAATTTGTAAAGATTTTAAAACATAGCAACATCATTAAATTAGAATATAATGTGTTTTTTTTCATAAAATACAAAAAAAAAATTAAGATAGAAAGAAATAAAATGTGAAATAGACACCTCAATTTTTTTATAATACTAAATTTAATGAAAACTATAATGGAAAAAACAAAACTAAATAGATAAATAAAAAACAAATAGTAAAAACGTGGTATTAATAGTTTGGAAACGTGGGTATTTTTTTTAGTTAGTAAATACTTTTTTTTGAATATTTTGAAAATAGAATATTTAAATATTTAATTTGTCACATTTTTTGGTTAAATTTGAAATAATAAAAAAAAAAGAATAAAAAAAGGAAAGACGATAGTTTGTAGGATGTTAGATTTTGAATAACTAGTGGGAGAAACTCTTAGTTAATAACAAATAAAATAAAATAACAAGATATGTTAATGAAATAACTAAATTAACTAATTATTATAGATATAATTTAAAAATATTATAATTTCATATGACAAATGAAATGTTAGAAATAATATTATTAATTAATAAATATAGAGTTAATGAAAATATGAATTAAGAAAATTATTTTGATAATTTAATAATAATTACGAAAAGTATTTTATATTTATTAAGAAAATTATTTTGGTAATATAATAATAACTAGAAAATGAAGTGTATTATATTCTAATGAAAATATGAAGTAATACAATTATTTTGGTATTAATATAATAATTACCAAGAATATTCTATATGAATTAAGAAATTTATTTTGGTAATATAATAATAATTATAAAATGAGGTTTGTTAAGTGAATTAAGAAAATTATTAAAATTTCATTAATTAATAAAAATAGACTTTATGAAAATATAACTTAGGAAAACTAAATTGGTAATTTAATAATATTTGCCAAAAGTATTTTATATGAATAAAGAAAATTATTTTGGTAATATAATAATAACTAGAAAATGAAGTGTATTGTATGTTAATGAAACTATGAATCTAGAAAATTCTTTTGTATTATAGTTATAATTAAAAAGTTATATTTTATATGAATTAAAAAAATTATTTTGGTAATATAATAATAATTATAAAACATAGTTTATTATATTAATTAAGAAAATTATTAAAATGTTATTAATTAATATAAATAGAGTTAATTAAAATATAAATTAGGAAAATTATTTTTTTAATTTAATAATAATTAACAAAAGTATTTTATATGAATTAAGAAAATTATTTTTGTAATATAATAATAACTATAAAATGCAGTGTATTATATGTTAATGAAAAAATGAATTAAGAAAATTATTTTGGTATTATAATAATAATTACCAAAACTATTTTATATGAATTAAGAAAATTATTTTGGTAATATAATAATAATTTTAAAATGAGGTTTATTCTATGAATTAAGAAAATTATTAAAGTTTCATTAATTAATAAAAATAGATTTAATAAAAATATAAGTTAAGAAAATTATTTTGGTAATATCATAATAATTTCCAAAAACTTTCTTTTATGAATTAATAAAATTATATTGATAATATAATAATAATTATAAAATGTGGTTTATTATACCTTAATGAAAATATGAATTAAGAAAATTATTTTGGTAATAAAATAATAATTACCAAAATTATTTTTTATGAATTAAGAAAATTATTGTGGTAATATAATAACCAGTAAATGAGGTTTGTTATATGAATTAAGAAAATTATTGATTATTTTTTCCTATTCCTATTTTATATATACGAATTAAGAAAATTATTTTGATAAATAATATAGTACTTAGAAAAGCACCTTATTATAGTAGAGATAATATAAAATTGAGTCAGTGGTGGTTGTGGTTAATATAGAGAAAGAATTGATTTATTGATTAAAATAAAAAAATGCAAAGTTATTATTATAATAATAATAATAATAATAATAATAATAATAATAATAATAATAATAATAATAATAATAATAATAATAATAATAATAATAATAATAATAATAATAATAATAATAATAATAATAATAATAATAATAATAATAAATAAATAAATAAATATAAGAATAGGAAATGATAATGTTTTCCATAATTTTTATACCATAATTTTAATTCCAAAACTTTTAAGTAACTTATCAATTTATATATATAAAATATAAGATATCATTTTTTTAGTGGATAGATTCGCAAGCCGAACCACGTCACATTTGTTCAGTCAATCCATTGGTTTAAAATATTTTAATAGTAACATAATTTTTAAGAAAGTTGTTAAAATATATATTCAAGAGTGCGTTAGGAAGAAATATATATTAGGAAAAATGTTTTAGAAAAAAAGTGTATAAATTATATGTAAATAGTGGATAAGGGTGTATAAAGTATTAGGAAATAAAAGTGGATAACTATGTTGGATTTTTTTAAAATAGTCTATTATATGTAAATAGTAACAATTTTAAATTAAATTAAAGAGTCAAGTATATTTAAAATATGGGAAATGCTAACGAGTGCCCTCCGGGCATTGGTTAAAAGATTAAAATGGTAAGTTGGACATTATTTAAGAGATTGAAAATACATTTTTTTTTCTAAATATATGTGTATTTAATGTCCTAAAAATAGAAATAATCAGACTTTTTAAAAAATATTGTGTGTATTGAGTGAACTAAATATAACATATTTTTCTTATTTGAAATTCTTAACTAATGCCCTGAGCGCACTGGTTAGCATGACCCTTAAAATATACATTAAAATACTCATAATGTACTATCTTCAATGTAAATTATGATAATTTTGTATCTTTCATAATTTCATATATTCCAAATAAGTTATAATTATTTCAAATTAATTAAAGAAATTAATCGACCAAACACACCCTTAAGAATTATCATTATAAATAACAAGTTAATCTCATTATTCTCTTGTCTCATATCCAATTTTAAGAGATGAAAATTATTCACATTTTTCTTTTCTTTTTTTCTCTTACCTCATTTTATATCCCCCATGCTACTTCTAGCAATGATTTTTGTGTAGCAAACCTATTACTCCCAACTACCCCTTCGGGGTATCAATGCAAACCCGAAGATAATGTAACAGTGAATGATTTTGTATTCTCTGGCTTTGTAGCTGGAAGCACAGAAAATCCTTTTAAGGTTGGATTTACTTCTGCATTTGTCACTGAATTACCAGGTCTTAATGGACTCGGTGTTTCTGCGGTAAGAGCAGACATGGAAATAAATGGGACAGTCCCAATGCACTCTCATCCTGATGCAACTGAATTAGTTATAAATTTTGAAGGGGAAGTGACGGTTGGATTTATTTCACCAAATAAAGTTTATTTAAAGGTTCTTAAACCTGGTGATGTTATGGTTATTCCAAAAGGATTATTGCATTTTTTAGTTAACACTGGTGCTACAAAAGGTACTGGTTTTGCAGTTTTTAGTAGCGCAAATCCTAGTGTGCAAATGTTTGATAATTTGTTATTTGGCAATGATTTATCAAGTGCCATAATATCACAAACTACTTTACTTGATGTCTCACAAATTAAGAAGCTTAAGGCTCAGTTTGGCGGTAGCGGTTAGAATTGCTTCGTTTTAAATTAAGTTATGTAAAGAATAAACTTATGTGTAATTTTTTTTTTCTTTTTTTATGTCAATTTTCATATTTAATAATATAAGAGAATAGTATGATTTTGAATAACTTCTATGTTATATCAACTGAAAATTTGTATGTTGTCTAGACTTACTATTTATCTATAACAACTGAAAATTTAATTTAAAGAAATTCTTGCGATTTTGATCCTTTAATTTCGTTTAGTTAAAAACCATTAAATTGTTATATATTTTTTAACAATACTCTGTTTAATGGGCGAGTAACGGATTTGATACTAAAACCATTATTATTTTGCGTCGATAGATGGTATATATTTCGACAGGTTTTCTAATTTCTTTTTGGCTTTATTAAAATTTTCTATTGGGTTTGGACAGTATGGTGTAATTTGTTTTATAATATATGTTTAAATTCAATAAAGAAAAAGGGACAAAATAATGAAAGATTGATATTCTAGAGTGAAATGTAACAAGATCTAAAGGACCGCTTCGAATTTCGCTATATTTCATGTCAGATTCGTCTCAAACAATTTGAAGTATTAATTTTAATTACATTTGGATATATAGATTAAGAGTATCTTTAATGCAGGTTTTTAATACTTAAATTTTTTATTGTTAACGATGATTATAAAGAATTTGCATTGGAATGACTATAACATGACATTTAATTCACTAACTTTTAATTTCCGACAATTATATAGCTAACTTATGCTATTTATTTTGAAACATATAATATTATTATTTAATTTACTAAATTAATGGTAACTTCAATAAAAAAATAATTACAATTAAAAAATATAGAATATAGGGTCAAGGTTTAGTTTTTTTTATAAGCAACTATTATTAAAGTAAAAACAACTCAAATCAACTATAAATTTTTTAAATCCTACAAATTACTTTGGACCCACAAAAAATATCTTAGTTTATCCACTTAAAATACTCCCACTAAAGATACTCTAAGATCTGCACGTCAGCTTGTTTAACATGTGGTTCCACTGTTTATTGTTATTTTTAGTAAATTAAATAACACATTTTCGTTTCTTTAAAGAATTAAAGTAAAAAAAGTTATAGGATTGTTTATTATGAAATTTAATAAATAAAAACAAATTTTATTTTACTTAAGAGGTTAAATTTAAAAAAGATCTCAGGACATATTTATGTGAAAATTATATGTTATAAACAAATTTGATATAAAATCTTAATGCAAGGAAAACTTAAAAGAATGACTGAAACTAAATTCAATGCAGTAAATGACTTGAAAAACTTTAATTTGTAAAATGAAACTCATATAGGTATATTCTTGACTCTTTTCTCACAAACACACAAATACTTTGAATTTTACAAAATTTTGTGTACAATTGCGGACTCCTAAAATATAACTGAATACTTACTTATATATTTGTCCTAAGTGAATCATCTTCAACGGTCAATTAAGCAAAATATGATATGTATTTGTCTCTATGCAACCTTCAATAACCATCTAATCTTATTTACTTACACCTCATTCGACTGCGTGAAGAATAAGCAAACTAAGTAGTCTGAATTTCATTAAGTCCTAAAAACCAATAACATCTATGGTTTTACAGACTGAACATTTGACCAAAGTTAGGATCCTTTTACAACAAGTCAATTTAGTTGAGATATCCAAAGTCATAATTGACCATTTTGATTTTGACCACTACAAGAAAAACTTCATTTTCCCTAGTGATTTAGTGACGTGGTAATCACATGGAAAAAAAAACACGTTGCCAAGTGATTCCCACGTCACTAACTTATTTAAATATTAAATTATTCAGACCTAAAATCTGCCATAAAAAATTGGAATTTTAAGAGAGATGGAAGTTTGAATTTTTAAAAAATTCATTTGTGGCGTGTATAACACATGGGAACTGAAAATTCAAAAATATCATTTTATTCCCACGTGAATAACAGGTCACAAGTTACCCACATACAATTCACTTCACAAAACTTCAAATATTAAATGTTTTGCTTTTCCATTTACTTTTCAGACGCATTGGTAGAAGGAATTAAATGTGACAACTTTCCCACATGGGGATCACGTCGCAACCCACAGCCATAAATAACTTTCCCACATGGGAATCACGTCGCAACTTTCACACATTATTATCACGTCGCAAATGGGAGTCAGCATGTTTGTTCCGACGTGGGAACCACGTGGGTACCTTCCCACGTGTTGAACATGTCGCAAATCTCCCTATATATTAATTAGCCAAATTTTCCTTCAGCATCCCTTTTCATCTTCATTTGTTTCTTCGTTTCTTCTTCACAACTCCATTTCTCTCTTCTTCACCATTGCTGCCTCCCTCACAACTCCATTTCTAACTAAAATTTCTTAAAAAATTTAAGTTGACTGGTATGTATCTTGTTTTTGTGAATGTTTTACCGTTTATTTTATGTTTATGTTATTACTAATTGTTGATTTTTTTTTCCAGATCTAAAATTTAAGAAGTTCAAAGAAGCTTTGATAGAGTTAGCTAGTTAGCACATTAAGGTATTTATGCATTTTCAATTTGTTTATTTTTGAGGTTTTGGTGATATATTATTTTGTTGTGTTGTTGTTGATATATTATTTTGTTAAATATGTATTTTGTAGTAGAATATATATTTTTAGTAGAATATATATTTTTAGATAGAGTTAATAAAAATATGTATTTTGATAGAGTTAATAAAAATAATTTTGTAGAGTTAATAAAAATAGTTTTGATAGAGTTAAATATGTATTTTTAATTTTGTAGAGTTAATAAAAATAAATTTGTTAGAGAATATGTATTTTGATAGAGTTAATAAAAATAATTTTGTTAGACAATATGTATTTTTAATTTTAGTTAGCAGATTAAATATATATTTTGATAGAGTTAATAAAAATAATTTTGTAGTAGAATATATATTTTTAGAATATATATATTTCGAATTAAAAACATAATATATATAAATAGAATATTTATTAGAAACAAATTAAATATGTAATATATTTTTAATTTTTAAAAACAGAATATTTATTATGTTAGAAAAAGTAGTAGATATTTTAAAAATAGTTTTAGTAAACAATATTGTAAATAGAAAAAATTAAAAGATATTTTTTACAAAATATAAAGAATATGCATTATATTTAAAATGTGCTATTTTTAAATGTATTATTTTTTGAAAAAGTATTTTTATTAAAAAATAATGAATATATATGTATTATATATATTTTAAATGTGTTATTTTTAGTAAACCAATTATATTATTATGTTATTGAATAGTTATTATATTTTAGTAAACATAATATATATTATTTTAAAAAAAACATATTTTTAAAAATAATGAATATATATTATATATTTTAGTTTTATAGCTGTTTTCAGTTAATAATATTTATTTATTTTTATTATTAAATTTTATAGTGAAGTGCATCCCATGTCACTAATTAGTGACGTGAGAATCACATGGAAAAAAATATTTATTCAGTGTGGGTTCCCACGTGAAAACAAGGCCACAAATTAGTGACGTGGGAATCACATGGGAAAATAATTAAATGGTGTCAGAAAAGCGTGCAGACAAAATAGGTAAAAGTAGGTTCCCATGTGATTTTCACGTCACTAATTAGTGACTTGGTTTTGACGTGGGAACTTTTTCTCTTTTTTTTCTCATTTGCGATGTGGTTTGTATGTCACAACTTTGTGACGTGTTTTCCACTTGGGAAAAAGTTCCCACCATTGTATTTCCGACGTGTTTCTCCCACGTCGCAAATTGTGACTAGTGAAGTGATTTTTAGCTTAGTGACGTGAGAATCACTTGGGAAAATGCAATGTTTCTTGTAGTGGACAATAAGCCCTCTGTAAACAAGAAAACTTATCTGATCTTCATAATTTACGATTGTGACAAAAATTCGAGGTAACAAATTGCCTCCCAAAATGTCATGTTTCGACTTTTCCTTTTTAAATTAAGAAGGAGAAATGTGGCATTTTTAGAGTATTTTCAACACTGTTAAAACTCTTTTGATGATGTCAACATCATCATTACCACTTTAATGCACATTGTCATTTTTTAGAAGAGCTTCTCAGAAATTCATCATTACTCCTATTTTCTAGGAGTCCATCATTGACAAGGAAAAAAAAACTCTATAAATATTTTCTTCGTACACTCTTCTCATCTTCTTCGCTCTCGTTCTAGCATTTTCACACAGTAAAACAAACCTCTCGCAACAAGCTCTTCACATTCAACAATGGTAGCAACCACTTCATCTTCCAAGCTAGATATTGGAAAAAAATCCTTTGGCGTTCACGATTCGGCCACCAAAAGAAGATGAATAAGGAAGAGATTTTTTTTCTGAACCGCCAATGGACAAAGAAAAAAATTACCATATGGGCTAATTAGTTACTCATCCCTTTTTTTCCTTTCTAAAAAACTTTTCGTATTCTTAGGACCATATTTGTCCGCTAAATCACAACCTAGGAAGGGGAAGAACTTCTACCCATGTTATCCCGTACCCTTCCCTCACTATTCAAAGAACGCTCTCTCGACTTATCTTTTATGGGAACGCCTGCACATGTCTTCCAATCTCCCCTACTCAAAATAAATAGTACATTTTCTGGCTCGATGAACTTTAACTTAAGAGAAAAAGCCAATGGGAGAAATTAGGCATCTTTGAGGTGGTCCAAATCTATAGAAATGGATCTAGGTACAACCCAACCATGTTGCTCGCATCAATCTTCTTTTGGGAAGGTTTGACCAACACTTTTCAATTGCCTTGTGGAATGCTTGCGCCGACCTTGTTCGACGTGGCAGCTATCACAGGTCTTAAACCTATAGGTGAGACCTTCACCCCAACAATAAAAACTGTGAATGAATTCATTTTCAAAAGCTTTAGTTTCAAAAACTACATCATCAACCATCATAATAAGAAAACTAAAGAGGTCTCCGACCAAGAACACATCACCTTTTTGACACTTTGGCTCTCCTACTATTTC